ATGAAGGGACATATGAATCTTTAGCATATCTGGCACGAAAATATCTTTCAACGCCAGCGACAACAGTGCCATGCGAACGCCTGTTCTCACTTTCCGGTGTCATACTAAACAAGAAGCAGGCAGCATTATTTTCTGCAAATTGTAACCAATCTTGTTTGTCTGAGTGATTAGCTGACCAAGAAGTAGGACTGAGTGGACTTGTAAGCTCTAAAGTTTTACATTGTTTTATTTTTGAATGCAGTTTTTTATATATATATATATAATTCTACATTTGTAAGCTCAACTTTCATGGTAAAGAGACTGCACTACAGTACTTGTATGAGGTGAATTGAAAAATAATTTTTTTTTTGTTTTTTACAGTGCAATTATTTGTAATCAAAAATAAATATACAGTGAGCACTGTACACTCTTTATTCTGTGTTGTAATTGAAATTAATAGATTTGAAAATGAAGTAAACATCCAAAAATATTTAAAAGAAATGGTATTCTATTGTTGTTTAACAGCACAATTAATCGCGCAATTCATTTTTGAATTGCACGGTTAATTTTTTGAATCGCACAGTTAATCGCAATTAATTTTTTTAATTGCTTGACAGCCCTAATTTTAATATGACTCATGTAAACATATACATCCAGGAACAAAACCTGTAGGCCTTAGTTAGAGGATGGGGGACTCTATCCTGGGAAGCAGTGCCTCTGAAAAAGATTTGGGGGTGGAAGTGAATAAGCAGCTGAACATGAGCTCTCAGTGTGATACAGTGACCAAAATAGCTAGAGTGATCCTGGGATGCCTAAATAGGGGAATCTTGAGTAGGAGTAAAGAGGTTACTGTACCTCAATAGTGGCACCGGTGTGATCCCTACTGTGTCCAGTTGTGGTATCCACAATTCAAAAAGGATGTTAATAAATTGGAGGGTTCAGAAAAGAGCCACAAGCATGATTAAAGGACTGGAAAACATGACTTATACTGATACAGGCAAGGAGCTCAATCTATTTATCTTAACAAAGAGAAGGTTAAGGGGTGATTTGATTACAGTCTCCAAGTACCTACATGGGGAACAAATATTTAATAATGGGCTCTTCAATCTACCGGCGATTGGTATAACATGGAAGTTGAAGCTAAACAAATTCAGACTGGAAAAAAGGTGTGATTGACAGTGAGGGTAATTAACCATTGGAATAATTTACCAAGGATTGTGATGGATTCTCCATCACTGACCATTTTAAAATCCAGATTGGGTGTTTTCCTACAAGATCTGCTCTAGGGATTATTTTTGGGAAGCTCTCTGGTCTGTGCTATACAGAAGACCAGACTAGATGATATATTAGAAGAATACTGTGGGAGACCGTACCAAAAGCTTTGCTAAAGTCAAGTAATAACATGTCCCCTCATCCACAGTCAGTTATCTCATCATAGAAAGCAATTAGGTTAGTCAGGCATGACTTGCCCTTGGTGAATCCATGCTGACTGTTCCTGTTCACTTTTGTCTCCTCAAAGTGCTTCAAAATTGATTCCTTGAGGACCTGCTCCATGATTTTTCCAAGGACTGAGGTGACGCTGACTGGCCTGCAGTTCCCTGGATCCTCCTTCTTCCCTTTTTTAAAGATAGGCACTACATTAACCTTTTCCCAGTCATCCAGGACCGCCCCCGATCGCCATGAGTTTTGAAAGATAATGGTCAATGGCTCTCCAGTCACAACAGCCAACTCCTTTAGCACCCTCGGATGCAATGCATCCGGACCCATAGACTTGTGCTCGTCCAGCTTTTCTAAATAGTCCTGAACCACTTCTTTCTCCACAGAGGGCTGGTCACCTCCTCCCCATACTGTGCTGCCCAATGCAGGAGTCTGGGAGCTGACCTTGTTTGTGAAGACAGAGGCAAAAAAAGCATTGAGTACATTAGCTTTTTCCACATCCTCTGTCACTAGGTTGCCTCCCCCATTTAGTTAGAGGCCCACACTTTCCTTGACCTTCTTCTTGTTGCTAACATACCTGTAGAAACCCTTCTTGTTACTCTTAATATCCCTTGCTAGCTGCAACTCCAGTTGTGATTTTGGGCCTTCCTGATTTCACTCCTACATGCGTGAGCAATATTTTATACTCCTCCCTGATCATTTGTCCAAGCTTCTACTTCTTGTTAGCTTCTTTTTTGTGTTTAAGATCAGCAAGGATTTCACTGTTAAGCCAAGGTGGCCGCCTTCCCTATTTACTATTCTTTCTACACATTGGGATGGTTTGTTCCTGCAAACTCAATAAGGATTCTTTAAAATACAGCCAGCTCTCCTGGACTCCTTTCCCCCTCATGTTATTCTCTCAAGGGATCTTGCCCATCAGTTCCCTGAGGGAGTCAAAGTCTGCTTTTCTGAAGTCCAGGGTCCGTATTCTGCTGCTCTCCTTTCTTCCCTGTGTCAGGATCCTGAACTAGAACATTTTGTGGTCACTGCCTCCCAGGTTCCCATCCACTTTTGCTTCCCTTACTAATTCTTCCCTGTTTGGGAGCAGCAGGTCAAGAAGAGCTCTGCCCCTAGTTGGTTCCTCCAGCACTTGCATCAGGAAATAGTCCCCTACACTTTCCAAAAACTTCCTGAATTGTCTGTGCACTGCTGTATTGCTCTCCCAGCAGATATCAGGGTGATTGAAGTCCCCCATGAGAACCAAGGCCTGTAATCTAGTAATTTCTGTTAGCTGCCTGAAGAAAGCCTTGTCCACCTCATCATATCCCTTAAAATAGTTATAGTGGTATGAAAATTGTGTGTGGACCAGCATTCAATTCCTCATTTCTTAGTCTGCCCATGTATTCACCATTTTTGTCTGGTTTTCTTTACAACATCTATGACGTAAACTGAATTCCCCGCTCACAGCTTTTTATGGGCGACTAGAAGCAGAATTGAAAAAGGCCTGTTTCCTGTCCCTGGTTTACTGAAGTTACCGATATTAATCTCAAGAGCCACCACAAAGGCAGGAAAACATCCTTTCAATCTAGATTATTGCTCCCACTGCAACTCCAGTGAGTCAAACTTTCTACGTTAATTGTGAGTGTGAGCAGAACCAAGAGAGAGTGATGGAAAAGGGCCATTACGCCATTCCACAGCTACAGAGTTCGTCAGAGAGTTCAGCACCTGCCCCAGAATTGTGCAGCAAAATTTAAGCTTGCATTAAAACAAACAACCATACATCCACCTCATCAGGCCTGATTCTCCCCAGCCTTTCACCATGTGTAGTTTTCTATACCTGTGCAAGGTAAGGGTATGTCTACACTATGAGCCTGTGACAGCCTAGCTCCACAGTGTAGACACAGGTTACACCACCTCCCCACGTCCTTAGCTACTCGACAGCAGCCCTCTTCCATCAACATAGCCACATCCATGCTGGGGTTTTTGTTGGTATCATAGAATCATAGAATATAAGGGTTGGAAGGGACCCCAGAAGGTCATCTAGTCCAACCCCCTGCTCGAAGCAGGACCAATTCCCAGTTAAATCATCCCAGCCAGGGCTTTTGGTATATCTGTGTCGGTCAAGGGTGTGCTGACGTAACTTTTTTTTGTAGACCAAACCTACGTGTAAGGTGTTCTCACCTTTTTCTGATTTCGCAGCATTTTATACTCTGCATAGGAATAAACTGCAAAACAGGACCAAATAGGGCTGCTACTCTGAGGTACAAAAAAACCAGGGACAACTGGGACGTTCCTGAGCCCATAAAACTGGGCAGCTGGCAGTGTGTATTGGGTAACCTTGCAGATTTTCCAGGCCCCCTATCTTAAGAAAGAGATAGTCTAGGGAAAACCGGGGCAGGTGACAACCCTAGGCCAGTCACTTCTGCCCTGCCCAAATCAGAACAGTAGCATTTTGCACGGGTGAAATGACTGCACAAGGTGCTGATCAACAGACACTTGCGTCCATAAAAGGTCTAATTTCACTGCTACCCTGCACCTCAACCAGTCATTTGCACCATTTAAAATGCTACCAAACCAGAACTTGCAGTGGTGTAAATGACCGTATAAGGGATGGGGTCAACAACGAACTATGGTGGTGGTGGTGGTGGTACAAAGCAGAGGAGGCTCAGGCCAGGCTCTCCAGCATCGAGCCAACTCCTATTAACCCTGGAACCTAATGATGGCAACATGACTACGCATTCTGCAACCACTATGGGGCATAACTGGCACAAGTGGGCAGCAGGCAGCTGCAGAGCTGCAACCCGAGCCCCATAAGTGGGGAGGGCCCTTCGCGTCATGGCAACAGCCTCACCTCCCACTCGCCAGGGCCCCTCTACCACCCAAGCACTGAGGCACGCCCTAGTTCCCCACTGGGCGCACGCGCAGGAAGACACCCAACGCTACAGTGACAGGCCAGGCGCTAGCACATGCGCATTGACATAAGCCCGGGAGGCCGTCGTCCCGTTTTGGCGCATGCGCATTGAGAGCGGGAGGGGGCTGGCGCACATGCGTACTGACTGGCGGCCCACAAGTTTCTTTTAAGGGCGGAGTTTTCTATACGCGCGTCTCCCCCGCCTCTTGCCCTTGCGCATGCGCATTGGCAAGGATAAACCCGGGTGCGGCTTACCGTCACTGAGGGGAGGAACTTTCTCTAAGCCTCGCCCCCGCTTTGACCTGATCTTGGCCCCGCCCTTTTCGCCGCGCGCGCGCAGTGTGGGTTGGGTGGGGCGGAGAAGAACGGGGCGGGTCAACGGGAGGCGGAGTCTTCCCTCGCCCAACTGCCCCTCCTCTCCGCCCTCTGTGCTCCTGCGCAATGTGGTTCCCCCGCCTCGTCCCCGGAGGGGCGGAGCTTCCCTTTGGCCGCGCCCTCCGTCCACCTGCGCGGGTCGCGTTTGGAGGCGCCGTCATAGGGACGCACGCGTGAGCGGGGGCATGCGCAGTGCGGGGAGCCGGCTTGTCAAGGTGAGGCTGCTGAGTAGGTGTGAAGGGCCGTGCTGGGGCCCTGAGGGGAGGGGGCGACGTGGGGGCGGGGCCTTGTCCCTGCGGGGAGTGTGTGAGGGGGGAGGTCCGGTCCGGTCCGGTCCCTGAGGGAGGGATGCGGTGGGGGGGTCCTCCCTGGGGAGAGGAGGCCGGGTGGCCTGGGAAGGGGGGCGGTGGTTGCCCCTGGGGCCTGTGGTTTTTCTGGCTTGATGGAAGCAGGGCGGGTGGAATGGGCATCTGGCCTGGGGGTGGGGAGGTTTGGCTTTTTTTGGTGGGAGAGGTATGGGGGGGGGTGTACCTCTCTTGAAAGGAAAAGGAGGACTTGTGGCACCTTAGAGACTAACCAGTTTATCTGAGCATAAGCTTTCCTGAGCTACAGCTCACTTCATCGGATGCATTCAGTGGAAAATACAGTGGGGAGATTTTATATATACACACAGACCATGAAAAAATACACATTGTAAGGAGGGTGATCACTCAAGATGAGCTCTTACCAGCAGGAGAGTGGGGTGGGGGGAGGTATTTTTTCATGCTTTGTGTGTATAAAAAGATCTTCTACACTTTTCACAGTATGCATCCGATGAAGTGAGCTGTAGCTCACGAAAGCTTATGCTCACATAAATTGGTTAGTCTCTAAGGTGCCACAAGTACTCCTTTTCTTTTTGCGAATACAGACTAACAGGGCTGCTACTCTGAAACCTCTCTTGAAAGGGAGGGGGGTTCTCTGGGGTGAGAGGGGTGGAATGCCTCTGGGCGGGGGAGTGCAGGTGGAGGAGGCATGGGGGGGCGTTTAAGGAGGGTCTTTGTCCCTCTGTGTGGATAGGGGAGGGAATAAAAAGGGAGGGGCATACCTCCTGGGGATGAAGAGCAGCTTGTCCCTCAGTGAAGGAGGGAATGCTATCTGATCATGAGCCCTGCTCTTCCCAACTTTCCTTCTAGGACATCCAGCAATTCTTCATCTGTTGCCATGGGATGTCTGTTCTCTCTTGGTAGTAACGTGTCTTCCAGGCAGAGAAGAGAGAATGATGAGGACTTACTAGACAGCAGAGATCGTGAGGAAGACATTGCCAAGTTTCCATATGTTGAATTCACCGGTCGGGACAGCATCACCTGCCCAACTTGCCAAGGCACTGGCTGTATTCCCACAGGTGAACCTATCTGTATTGAAACTTCACTCCCAAAGCATTTTACTCATGGGCTAGAAACCTTCCTTATTTAGGTAAAACTCTTATTCATTTCAGGATCTGGTTCAAAATTTCCCTCTTTGATTTCCAAATCTCTTCTGACATGTACTTGGCTGCCCTTGATTGTTTCTCTTTCTGCTACTGTTTTAGTTTCTCCTGTTGAATAGAAAAAGTTTTTGAATGAACTTTCGGTGTAGAAAGAAGTGTGCACTGAATTAGGTTTGTACTCATCCCATATCTCCTAACAAGTTCCTTCTTCAAAGCCTGGTTCACTTCCCAAGACCAAAGCTCCTAAATAGTGTTTGAGAATCTTAAGGCACTGGACTAACAAAGAAAAGGTTTCTTGGGCTAGATAGTCTCATAGTGGGGCCATCTGTCCCATAGTGTTCTTTAACTGTCAAGGCAAAGAAGCAATGAGACTGTTTATTCAAATCCATCCAGCTGGTAGCTGTGATATTTGTATTGTCCGCTACAGTCTAGGAAAGCATGTTCCTTCTCATGTTGAGGGAGCGCGATATTAAAATGCATACCCAGAAACCCTTGGCGGCTTTTAGTCATTTCCAGTGCCCTCAGTTTTAGGGAGCTTAGTGCATAGTGACCTTGCAAATGGGTGGAATTGACAAAGCTTTTTCCTTTTTGTCTTCTAGAGCAGGTCAATGAGTTGGTGGCTCTAATACCATACAGTGACCAGAGGCTACGTCCCCAGAGAACGTAAGTTCAAAGAGTCTAACACGTGTCCACTGATCTTTCTCATGAAGAATAAATGCGACTGCTTCTCATTTGGTGCCTGGTTGTACTGCCACAACTAAATATTGCACTGGCTCTGCATTTCCTTTTGTGCTGCCTTCCATGCTCTAGTTTAATCTAAGATAATGCCATCAAACACTTCTTCAGCTGTAACTAAATATTTCCCATTAACTCCCACTCTTGGGGTGTGCATGAAAACCCCATTGCTACTCCAGTTCATGCCTTTTACATTCTTAAAAGAAATTCTGGCTTCTCAACATCAGAAGCACCAGACTGAAAACATTAATGGGGGGGAAATGACTCTGTGAGTGCCATGTTTACACTTTTTGGTATACTCAATCCCTTTCTTTTTGGTAAAATGCCTCAGTTTAAAGGGCTGCCAGTTCTTTATTTGAGTCGTTTAGACACCTTATCCAATTTAATCTTATTCATGTAAGAGTAGCACTTATTATTTGTGATATGTTTCTCCAGGGAAGCTTGGGTGCGCATTGTCTGATAGCTGGGGGAGGGGTTTATGTATAGCACTTGATATTTTTCCAGGGATCCTTTGTTCTTTCAGTCCTTTTTCTTCTCCTGGTTTTTATACTGCTGGAACTTCATTAGTAACAGCTGGTGATCTAGTCTCTCATTGTATGGGAGGAAACAGTGCCCATTGGCTTTAAACAAACAAGCCAGGACTTTGTGAGAGAGAGGAAGATTGGCCCAGTGGTTTGGGCAGTAACCTAGGACTTGGAAGGACCGAGTTCATTTCCCTGCTCTGCCACATATTCCCTGTTTGATTTCGGGCCTGTCACTTAGCATCTCTGCGCCTGTGTTCTCCACATGTAAAATAGTACAGGGCTATCATTTCCATCTTACAGGCTTGTTGTGAGGATAAATACGTTAAAGATTGTGAGGTGCTCAGATGCTACGGTTATGGGGACCATACAAGTAGCTTAGATCTGTGGTTTCCTCATGACTGCTCCAGAGACTTACTGGGTCACTGAGTCCCTCTGTGTCATGGTTCATGCATATGTAAAGTGGGGATAATATGCTTCCTACCTTCCACAGAGCCTTTAAAATCACTTCATGTTTGTAAATTGAGACTCTCCAGTCACAAGTTCAGTATCAGGGCAAAGTGGGTAAAATGTTCATGTCTGTTGCAGGAAGCTCTATGTGCTGCTGTCTGTGCTGCTCTGCCTTCTGATATCAGGGCTGGTGATTTTCTTCCTGTTTCCACACTCGGTCCTTGTGGATGATGAGGGCATCAAAGGGGTTCAAGTTTGGTTCGACCAGAAAAACTCCATTGTCATTCTTGCCATCACGGTAAAGCTCTGTCTAATCCTTTTGTCTTGAGTGAGTTTTCTGCTGAACTCTGGAGGACTCGGATTCTGATGTGTCTTCTCTCTCTCTTGATACAGACCACCCTGAGGATCAGAAACTCCAATTTCTATTCAGTCGCAGTAGCCAGCATAGCCAGCCAGGTGCAGTACATGAACACTGTGGTTGGAACCCAACAGATTACCAATGTGTCTCGCATCCAGCCGCTGAGCGACAAACTGGTATTACAGCCTTTCTTGAGTATGCACTGGGGCTTAAGCTGTAGAGAGTATTGAACCATCCCCTACTGCTGGTGATACTGGCCTTTGGAAGTGACCCACAGCCTGATGGGTCCAACTGAAAAAGTTAGATGACTTATGACTGAGGCCCCTGTACTAATGAGCGGGACCTTCTGCACAGAGAGAGACACCCTCCCTTCTTCCTCTCTCCTCCCAGCTTGTGCACTAACCAGATGGGACCCATAGCTACATTAAAATGCAAGTGGTGAGATATCACCAGTGAGGCTTCATATCTTTGACCAGTTCCTTGTGTAGCTAACCACAGCCTGTCCTGGAAATGCAGAATTGGGGTGGGACTAGACGACAAGAATAAAGAAGTTAGGGCTGACAGGAAAAGAACAAATCTAGAAAGAAAAAAAGCAGGAATGAAGGGTCTACTACATATATTGATGAAAGAAGAAAATGCTGGATAGACACGAGGGAAGTTGATGGTTTTAAATGATGATTGAACGTTGAACAGTTTTTACAAAACTTAACAAAGTAAGTTGGGTGGGACAAGGTGAGTCTGGACAGTGTAGTTAAGAAGTAATTGGTAAGCGGTAAAATTAAGATCTACAAGTCTTAATGCCTGCCAAGTGATATGGCAGTGACCAAAAAAAACCCCAACCCAATGCAGCCTTTGGGACCCCTATAAAGAAGTGTTATGCCAAGGTAATCTCCTTCTGTTCAGCTATGGTAAGGCTACATCTGGAATGAGTTGTTGGGTTCCAGGGAAAAGATGCTGATAAATAGGAGGAAATCCAAACAACATCAGAAATACTTCTGGGGGTGAAAGGGGCTGACTTTGGAAGAAGGATTAAAATAAACTGGTTTAAGTGTCACTTGTGATATGTTGGTTGACAAATATCTGAATGCTGTGAATGTCTAGAAGAGGGAGAAATTTGTCTAAAGGGGTCAAATTAGAGTATAACTAGAAGTAATAGGATGAAACTAAACAAGGGAGAATCTAGGCTAGAAGAGGAACCTTCCTGACACTGAGATGTACAGGCTAACCTTCATCTACAACACAGCTATAACCAAGTCAAGAGACTCCATTTACAGCATTGTTGGGTCCTGTCCCATGACACATTTTAACTGTGGTATTACTCTGTTTCCTGACTCAGCGATGGTTGTGTGGATTAGGCTTTGAATGGTGAAATAGTCTCCTTGCAGCTAGAGTGTCTTATAGCTGGACTGGACAAAGCACAGGAGAACGTATTGTAGGGAATAACCTGACTTGGTTTAATACTGAAGGTCACTTGCATCTCTAATTTCTGATTTCATTTTACTATTTGCTGAACATGTCTTGTCCTTTTCAGGTGAATTTCACTGTGAAATCCGAGATGGGTGGACCTTTCTCCTATGTGTAGTAAGGATTATTTATTATTTATCTCTGCAGTTCATGCAAAGAATCTGCATAAATTGGATATCACTGAGTAAACTGATCTGACTCCTGCGGCTTTATTTAACGAGTTCCTGTTGGTCAAAAATATCAGACCCGACAGGTCATCTGTACCACGCTTTTCAAATATAAAAAAATTGTTAAATGTTAAATTGTTAAATGGACAGTTCAGCCAGAGCAGCCCCGAAGCAAAAAGGGAGTTCCAGGCTGCCCAAGAAATTTTAAAAATGCCTTTCTAAAGTTTATGGATCAAACTCTGTTTTAGTCTTTCTTCCAACATGTTTCTCTGTTGGTCTCTTACAGTTTCTTTTGCACATTACCCAAGGTCAAGGTGCATAACATAGTGATCTTCATGAGGTATGTAATTCTTCTTTTGCTCTACTGCACTCTGTTGACTGGAAGTAGAATTGCAGTGACAAAATTACAGGCTTATCTTAGACTTGAGTTCCTTCTGTCTGCTGACACATTGGTCAGTCCAGTTCCTTCATTGATTGTGATCACTTGCTAGCTGTGGTACTCCTTCCCAGATGTGCAGATTTGGTCATTGGGATTTGATGTCTTGAGATACCAGCTTCACTGAGATCTCATACTTGCATTTTGAGCTTCATTTGCACCTATCGTCTTCAAGTTTTGGTTTAACTGGACTGTTTCTGTTGCAGTAAAGTTTTACCTTAGCGGGTCACAAACCTAACAGAACCTTCCTCTTTTATCCGGGCTTGGGACTAGCACTGTTGCTTACGGTGTGACAGTTTAACCTGTAGCACTGCATACCAATTCCTTCTGGGAAGCATCCCAAGTTAGTTTCATGTGTCTGGAGGTCTGGCCAGCTGCTAGGAGATATGGCTGTGTAAAGTGTGACTCACCCCCTGTAGGAGAGGACAGTTGGTGGAAGAACTGGGAGAGGGATGGGGATGGCAAAGCAGGTGATGGTTGTATCTGAAGAAACTTTCAGTATCTGTCATACAGATTCCCACTATGATCTAAGGGCCAAATCTCTAGCTCTGTTTTCATGAGCATTCTGACTGACTGCAGTAGGGCTACTCAGGTGAATAAGGGCTTCAGAGACCAGCCCTGGCTGCAGGCAAAGAAAAGCTGTGTAATGTGGAAGCTGAGTGGGCCTTTAATAATCGAAGGGGCTTAGTTTCTCCTCTATTCTATAAGCAGCAGAGGGGAGGGCTATATGTGCCTATTCCTTGTGCCTTCTGTGTAGCAGTGATTCCCATGTCAGTCTCGGCTTTTGGCATGGGAAATTTGATTCCACTTTTAACTAGGGCACAATGTGGATTGCTGCCTATCTTTAAGAATATGGTGAGTGTAAATTGCAGCAGGCTGCTGGCCCCAACAGCTGTGAAGAATGCAGAACAGTTAAAGCTTAGTTGCATAAATGTGAAAATCTGATATGCACCCTGCAAATTCTGGTAAAGAAAGAGAAAATGTCCCACAAACTAACAAACATCCCTTATCTTAGTACCTCTATACCAATGATAAGTGCTGTATAAATGCCCAATATAGTCAGCAGTTTTTGAGGGGAAGGAGATTACTAAAAAGCAGAGCCACTCCTATTGCTGTCTGATATTTTCATCAGCTCTTCCCAGATTAGTGTCTTTAGATTTAAGTGAATTAATTATAACCTGTCCTATCTGAGCTGAACTGAATCTCTCTCTTCCAGAACATCAGTGAAAATCTCCTACATCGGCCATGTGACTCAGAGCTCCTTGGAAACATATCACTATGTAGATTGTGGTGCTAATTCCACAGCTGTCCAGGACCCTCGGCCTGTGTCCACCCCACCTACTCTAGATAGTGTAACCAAAGAGAGGAGGATACTTTGAAGACACCGGAGTCAACTAATACTTCTCTTGGAGAAGTGATCATGCAGACTGACTTTTATTATAAATTAGTACCTGTAGGCAGGATCACTAGGTAGCTTTTAAATGGAATTAGAGGGATCATGGCTGTCCTTGGAGTGAACAGGAGGTGTCTGAAATCATGTGGCACTTCACATTCATGCATATGCAACTTGGCTGCACTGCTTACATTTTAGGCAGCGATTTGAGAGCATGTCCACTTGTGATCTAGTCTGATCCTCCCCAAAACGTGCTGAGTTCCCACCCACTTATAACTTGACATTGATCTGGTATTTAGATATTGCAACAAATTTCTTAGAATTGAACCCAGAAGAAATCAAGGAACTGTTTTAAATAATCTTTGACTTAATGAAAGTCAGAAGGCTTCAGACTCTGTCATTGCCTTAGTTTTGCTGCTGCTTGGTGGGCTCTGCTCTTTTTTTTTGGTCCTTTTCGGACAAAAGTGCTGTTTCAGTGAAACTCCTCTTGCCCCTCATTCTGCTCAGTGGCAGCACACCATTAAAATATGTTATGGCATTTTGTTAGTAGGATTTCTACGTATAGTCATTCCAGGAGAGAGTGGCACTCATATTTATTCTCTGTAGCTGGAACTTGTCACAGATGCTGGAAGGGGAAATCATTGGAACTAACCAACATACGTTCTATTTGAGGTGCTGGTTTGCTTACTGACCCTCAGAAAACTTGGTGTCCATCTCCAGTGTATCAAAACCCTGCCGTCTTAGTGATGGCTGTGTTTCAATAGGTGCAGCATTCCAGTGGTGTCGTCATACTGATTTCCTTGTATGGACCATATAGCTCTTGGGCCTTTTTCCTTCATGCAGTGGTTTGAAGCTACTGCTCTAGATATATGTTGTATTGAGAGTTCTTGGGTGTCACTGAAGCTAGGGAACCTATAACTGAGCAGTTTGATCTGTGTACTTGCTGCATTCTTTTAACAGGAAAACTTTGTACCAGTTTGTAAGGGCCAGTATTTTAGAATACCATTTTTGTACTTCTGTATATTTTCGCTAAAGGAAGGGATGTAAAGATTACATATGAAGTATCCTTGTGTAGATTCTCCAGACATTGGCTCACTTTTGCATGGGGATTTGTCTGAGCGCAGACTTGAGCTGATTTCATTTAAGTTAATGGGAATTGCCTGTCTCAAATGCTCATTTTAGAGATGCAGTTTATATCTTAGGATGTATAATAGCCAGTTAACCCTGATACAGAGGGCTAAGCACAATGTATTTTAGTTTTCAATTCTTCACTTCTTATGCAGGACAAATGATTCTGTAGGCTGCTTCTGAGCCAGACTCTTGCACATCATGATTTCAGGGTTCTTAAATTCACTGTAATTCAACTCAGCTTCCCCATTTCTTTTGGGCTAAATCAACCGGCATCTTTCTCTATCATACTTTAGAGGAAATAGCTATGCTAGTGGGGAGGAAAAACCAAACAGTCAAAGTCTGAAAAGGAAACTGATATCTAAAATGTTTCATTGAAGAAAGCTTGTTATTATTAGTGTGAAGTAGAAAATGAACCTGTTTTAAGAAAATGTTACTATTGTATAGAATTGCACTTTATGGGGATAATTTGTAGAACTGAATCTTGCTAGACAAATAAAATCTGAGATTATTTACCACGAAGAAGTATCATTTGAGTGGAGTAGTCCCTGGCTCTTTTAATCTCCTGCATTTCTGCCCTGGACTTTGAATACTTTATACTGCAACTGGCCTGACGTGCCACTCTCAACTTCTTAGCTGGCTAATCTATGTATTATCGATTTGCAATACTTATTGACTTGTATTACAGTAGTATCTGGTGTCCCTAATCGTGGATCAGTGCCCCAGCATGCCAGGACCTGTACAAACACACACAGAGGGTTTACGCCAATCTCTAACTACTCAAGGTGAGGCTGATGTGGGATAGCCTGCCCCTTGTGTCTGCCTACTTTGGTGTTCTTGCACCTTTCTCTGAAGAATCTAGTGCTGGCCCCTGCCAGAGATGGGATACTGGACTAGATGGACCTTGGCTCTGCTCCAGTGTGGGAGTTCCTGTGTCCGTACAGAGATGGTCTCTCGCTCAAAGAGTTTGCAATAGAAGTACTCTAGCATCAAATGTTTTTCTCCTGGATAACATATCCCTTTAATCTGCATTTTGTCCCATTTTTCTTTATGGACCTTACCAAATGTACTAATGTGTTCTGTTCCCTATGAATTGGTGAATGTTAGAGCCCAAACACTGAACTTCAGAGAACCATCTAAAGTACTCAGTTAGTGCAGCAGTGTAAAAGCATTAACTAAAATATCGCCCATTCTGAGGCTGCATGGCCCAGAGTGCGCTATGCCCTGCAGATCAGGGGCAGTGTAAAGTAGGTGCCCAGTGGCATCCAGCTGTTAAGATACCACACTCTGCCTACAGCAAGAAGGGGAAGACTGTAATCCATTCCTGCCACCTACATCTGGAGTCCTTGGAAGGCACTTCACAGATGCAGCAGTCTTCTTTCTAGGTCTCCCCTTGCAGTGTGGATATTTCAAATGTCGTGTGCTCTGAAAGGGGCAATGCATTCTGGGTCACGCAGCTCTACAAACAGGGCTTAAGTTGTAATGAAAGAGATGCCCAGGGCTCAAGAATTTTTTTTTTTTTACTTTTCTGACTGACACAGCAATCCCAGAGATGCCAGGGTTGAGCCCTGGCAAACCTCTGCACAAATCTTAACTTATGTCTAAAAATTAGGACTGTCAATCGCAGTTAACTCACGTGATTAACTCAAATTAATTGTGATTACAAAAATTAATTGCAATTAATCACACTGTTCTACAATAGAATACCAATTGTAATTTATTAAATATTTTTGGATGTTTTTCTACATTTTCAATATTGATTTCTGTTACAACAGAATACCAAGTGTACAATGCTCACTTTATATTTTTTATTACAAATATATGCACTGTAAAAATGATAAAAGAAATTGCACTTCAGTACTTGTATGAGGTGAATTGAAAGATACAATCTCTTTAGTGTGCAAGCGTAACTTACAAATGCAGATTTGGGGGGGGTGTTACGTAACTGCACTCAAAAAGAAAACAGCATAAAACTTTAGAGCATACAAGTCCACTCAGTCCTACCTTATTTTGCCAATTGCTAAGACAAACAAGTTTGTTTACATTGACGGGAGATGCTGCTGCCTGCTTCTTATTTACAGTGTCACCTGAAAGTGAGAACAGGCATTCGCATGGCACTTTTGTAGCCAGCGTTGCAAAGTATTTACATGCCAGATATGCTAAACATTCATGCTTCGGCCATCATTCCAGAGAACATGCTTCCATGCTGATGATTCTCGTTAAAATAATAATGCATCAATTAAATTTGTGACTGTACTCCTGGGGGAAGAATTGTACGTCTCCTGCTCTTTCACCCGCATTGTGCATATATTTCATGTTGTAGCAGTCTCGGATGATGACCCAGCGCATGTTCATTGTAAGAACACTTTCACAGCATATTTGACAAAACGCAAAGAAGGTACCAATGGAGGTTTACAAATCTGAAGTGCCGTCGAAAATCTGAGCGGGACGAGGTGTGGAGCATGCTTTTAGAAGTCTTAAAAGAGCAATGTTGATGCAGAAACTACAGAACCCGAACCACCAAAAAAGAAAATGAACCTTCTGCTAGTGGCATCTGACTCAGGTGGTGAAAATGAACATGCGTCATGGACTGCTTTGGATCGTTATCAAGCGGAACCCATCATCAGCATGGAAGCATGTCCTCTGGAATGGTGGTTGAAACATGAAGGGACATATCAATCTTTAGTGCATCTGGCACGTAAATATCTTGCAACGCCCGCTATAACAGTACCATGCGCATGCCTGTTCTTGCTTTCAGGTGACATTGCAAACAAGAAGCAGGCAGCATTATCTCCTGCAAATTGTAACCAACCTTGTTTGGGTAATTCTGACCAAGAAGTAGGAGTGAGTGGATTTGTAGGCTCTAAAGTTTTACATTGTTTTATAATTTGAATGCAGGGTTTTTTTGTACATAATTCTACATTTGTAAGTTCGACTTTCATAAGGAAGAGATTGCACTACAGTACTTGTATGAGGTGAACTGAAAAATACAGTTTTTTTGTTTAACAGTGCAAATATTTTTAATCAAAAATAAAGAGCACTGCACACTCTGTATTCTGTGTTGTAATTGAAATTAACATTTGAAAATGTAGTAAACATCCAAAAATAATTTAAAAAATTAATTATGTTGTAAAACAAATAGAATACCCTTTATTTTAATCGCTTGACAGCCCTACTAAAAATCATAACCTATGATTAGGTTGTGATCTAATGACAGTTCCCTCTTCCCAGCTGCCTAACTCTCTCTATCCCAAACCCATGGTACACCTTCCAGCTGTGGAAACCCTTCCAGCTACAATCACACTGTCCCCTTTCCTCAGGACCCTGATAGAGACAAGCCTATAATTTTCACCCATTCTCAGTTGTGTACTTACTTGACCCTTGTGGTATTGAGGAGCACCAGTTCTTCCAAGAATTTGCGGTCCTGAATTTTTGGGAGGCATTTCTTTCTTTCAGCTGAGCCAGTGGTTACGGCCAGGGCTAGAACCTACACCTTGAAATAAACTCCGTTGCTCTTTTTTATTCAGTTTGTGTCTTAAGATAAAAAGAAGAAGGAAATTAAATTAAAAAAGCCCTAATTGTGAATTCAGCATAACAGATGAAGATTCAAATGTGAGAGTATCATTTAATTCTAAAGTTAGGGATGATTTTAGCACCATCAACTTGTCCCACATGGGCTAATTTAGGCTGATAAATGCCTACTGCCTGGGCCAAATTCTTCTCTCACTTAGTGTTGTGAACTCTTGTGGTTTTTATCATGAGGAACTCAGGCATAGTTCATGTTTTTTCTTCAAGCCCCAGTTGGGCTTCAAATTAATAAGACTAGCTTAAACTATGAGATCTTTTTTAAAAACAAGGAACTTTGGGTTCTTTTTATTTGCCTTCCGGTTTCCAAACACAGGGTTCAGCCTTTAAATCAACATGGGGCCTACTTCATAGACCTGGGTTCTTTTCCGGGTTGTTCCTATGCCTGCTTGGTGACCTTGGGCAAGTCATGTACCCTTTATGCCTCTTTAGCCTCATTTTTATGGCTGCAGAAAGATGCTGACAGCCTTTGAAAAGCACTGTGAGATCTACTGCTGAAACTTGCTGAATAAGAGCTACATAGGATACATCGCCTGAGATTGGTTGGTATAGGGTTAGCTAGAATCTACCTGCAGGCTTGCATATGGTGCCAACATATGAGGATAGCAGCAGCCCTTATATAACCCATGCTAATCAAGTATGGCTCTGTCCCCCTCTAGGGGCTAACCCATGTATAGAGGTTTATGACACTGCTAGAATTCTTTAACTCAGAGGCCTGTGGCTCAGAGCCAGCGCTCATGGCTTTGGTCGTTGCTAACAACGCTTACTGGTTTCACTGGGAGCTGTTGCGCTTGTTTTTTCTCTGGCTGTTCATGTGCATGTCACCTGCTGCCTTCAAACACATTGTACGACACTTACAAACGCTGGTTGCAGAGCTTTGCTGTGTAGTGGTTTCCCGCATGAGCCTGTCACTGAGTGATGAGTCCACATTAGAAGCATTTGGCATTTTAAAGTGTCTCTTTTAAAATATGTATTTTTTTTAAATCAAGCTGGCCGTTTTTAATTAACTTCTTGTGACAACAAATTAAGGCTGTGATCCTGCAAGGCTGTAGTCATCTATTTAACTTGACCCAGGAATAGCTCTATTGACAGCCGTGCAGTAGCACTAACCCCAAATGTTCAAGAATCATGAGTCTGGGCTCAGAAAATCAGGGGACTTAAAAATAATTACCAGTAAATAAATTTGGAGGTTTTTATTTGCCTTCTGATGTTTGAGACTTTTGGTTTCATTTCAAGGTCTTCTCCACAACTGTGAGTTCTATGCAGTTTTAAAAAAAAATGAAAACTGAGTCTCATGTAATCACTGGAGTCCAGGAGCCATTTTAGTTAAATATTTTTAATTAAAATTTTTTATTTGTGGTGTTTTGGTTTGTCATGAAAGATCCCAGATAAGATAAAACATTATTTAACAAAGATTACATCATCGGGCAGCAATTAATACAAATAAAAACAAATTCAACAATGGTGTCTTTATTTTATTTTTTTTTTAATAGGAAAAGCATTCTGTCTTTAGTGTGGACAAATAAGGGAAGGGAGTGGAGTGGGGAGATGGGCTGAGAAAGACAGGGGAACAGAGTTATTTCACAAGCAGTGTGTGTGAACTCTCTACCACGCTTCAAATTGGTATTGTAAAATATATTTTTTTTTAAAAAGTCTATTTTACATATATAAAGTAGTACATATTCCTTGGTTTGTTTGTTCCAGTCTTCATGTCACCAAAGGGTCATTTGAAAGCAAGGCAAGAGGGGGTAGGTTAGAATTAGCAAGCAGTTTTGGGGGTCAATCCACATGCTTAGTTTTGGAAATAATTGTTAGAAGAAACTTTAACTAGCTAGCACCCAAGTCCTTATTACGGCAAGTGTTTTCATGTATATCCCCTTCACTTGACAGCCACGGCAATACCAAATGTGTAAGACGTAGGGAAGATGTAA